TTCAGCAAACGTGGAAGACTTTGTCACAACCATAGATTTAGTATATAGGTACCCACTAAATCTATGGTCACAACAATTTGTTTCTTTGACTTCCAGTACACAGCGTTACCAATTAATCGAATCACAAAACCAGTAGTAGACTTACGGTCTACGATATCTCCGGCCCAATTGGCATCTACGTAACAATCCATTATATTAGCTCATCTTTGCATGCAATCAATAAGTCGTCAACATATACTAAAATGTAAAAAGTTTGATTATCGTCTGCTTTGACATAAAGACAATAGTCATAGTTACTCCTTTGAAAGCCAATAGTTGTTACAAAACTATTAAAGCATTCGTACCAATCACGTGGGCTTTCTTTTAAACCATAAAGAGATTTATACAGCTTATACACTTTGTCAGTACCGTCGTCATAACTAAGAGGCTGTTTAACATACACTTCTGATAACACTTTACCGTTCAAAAATGCAGTCTACATTCATATGATGCACATATAAGTTAAATTGGCAACAGTACGATAAAAATAGTTTCAAAGTTTGCATCCTAGCAACAGGTGAATACGTATCATCAACATTGATGGTTTGTTGAAAACCTCTAACCACTAACCTGGCTTTATAAAGATCAGCCGATTTCTTCTTGTACATCCATTTCACATCTAGTACCTCTTTTTCCCGTGGTTCATTTACTAGAGTCCAAGTATTATTTTCCACCAGGCTGTTCATCTCACGGTCCATAGACTCTTTCCATTGTTCAGCCTCGTCACAAGTAGTTGCCTCCTGAAAAGTATCTGGCACCATCGCGTCACAATAATTAACGGTTATACAGTAGTAGCCAAATTCTTCATCAAATCGATATGGCGCTTTAATTTGTCTCTTAGACGTTCTCTTCTCATTATTCATTATCACTTCATTACCACTATTATTAGATATCGAGTCTTCTGTTTCAATTTCATCTAGTGTATCTTCCCGTTTTTCTTCATCTTTTTTATTTTCCTCTTCATTATCATCAAAAGTAATAAGCTTAACATCTTCCTCAATTATATCCACGTGTCTTGCAACGACTACTCTATTATGGATCAATATTTTATACACAACATCTGTATATCCTAGTAAAATACCCATTACTGCCTTTTTGTCCAATTTGACGTTCGCCTTTCTTCAGGTACTCTTACATAGATTTTACTACCGTACATTCTCAAGTATTTTGCAGTTGGTTTCTCATGAAAAGCTATTTCATATGGTGTTTTTCTTTCTTGGGTATTTGTCATTATACAATTTTTAAATAAGCGGCGGTCTTGACAGCTTCTGGCCAATAACGTCTGTCAACCTTTGCTTCAGCTAAAAGACATCGTGCCATATCCATTATCGATCTATTATATCTTTCCGCTGTACCATTTAATTCATGAACATATGTTGGGCAAGACTTGATCATTATTCCTTTTTCTCTTGCGAAATGAAATTTTCTACTAGTTATGTACTCCTTTCCGTCGTTACATCTTATTTCTTTGATCATTTTTCCTGTAATACTGTGCATTTGATTGACGTATTCTATGAAGCATTCATAAACTTGTTCCTTGGATTGAATACAATATACTCTCGCTAACTTGCTATAATCATCTATAAATGTCAAAAAATATTTCTCCCGGCCTGGAAATCGAAGCTGGGACCTCTCCGTGGCAGACCAGGATGGTAACCGTCTGTTCGGTTTCGGCCACGGAAACAATTTGATATAATAATTTTATCTGTGTAATTGTGGAGTATGTAGCATTCAATTTCTTTATTTTTTTATTGCCAATTCAGAAACCAACTTTACTCTCACTTTTTCAAAGGTTAGTTGAAAGAAATCCCTTTGTACGATAAGCTCGCCTATGTGCACTAACATTTTCAAAACGTTTGTTAAAATATGTAATTTGTGGTACAATAAAGGGTTTACATACATACAAAATTATTCATACCTCATACCTCCAGTAGGGTACATAGAGACCTCCATCCGGTCCTCTCCCAACATATCTCTTTTGCTTCTTCCATTCACGCCATCAGTCTTTTCATACACAGTGAACCTTCAATAATAGAAAATGATACGTACTTAACGTAGCTTTAAATAATTCAAATAAAATTGTTACTCGTGGACTTAATACAATGAGACAGCCGTTAAATCGGCATCATTATCCTCTCGTAGCACTCGTAGTTACACAGTAGCATGATGAGCATTAGTACTGATCGTTAAGCTACAAAAGACCTGGCCAAGAATCCTTTTACAATACTTGACAAATAGGTAGCAGTTGTAAAGGGTATGCCTCCCCGTGAAACTCGACCTTTTTCTGGCTTTACTTGTCTATTAATGATGTGATCTTAGTTCCAGTGTCCCAGCCCGCCTGAAGGGTATTAATGATTCCCATTTGTGTCCACGATCGTTTGTTTGTTCACCTAATTCTGTAAGTTTATTATTGTTCCTTGTTTTGTGTCGTCCAATTTTTTGTTGTGAGGTGTTTAAGCTCGTTTAGGTCATATTTTTATTTATTTATTGGTTTACCGACATCTTTGTACAATATTACTTATTATAATCTCATCATACTTTACAAACACCCTAATTGCCACAAACACTTATAGGTAAACACAACAATTCACATCATGCACTAAAACATAACATGTTTATATTATGTTTTAGCGCATGTTGTGTACATACTATGTCTAACAACATTT